AGAGAAGCAGAACATGTGCATTGTACAGTGATATCGTGCTTCGCTCTCGTCGTGTGAAAGTTATCGTTCTTTGTTCGATAAGAACAAGGAATAGTAACACCCTCATACGGTGTGGACGGAGTTTGTGCTGCTTGACGTGCCTTAACTCTGTCTCTCGAAGGAAACTACCTGACGAAACTCTTGAGAAAGGTCGAAACCGGTCGTGGTATCTTCTTTTGATTCTTTCAGAAACTCTGTCTGAGTGTCTAGTAACAGAAATAGTGGTTGTAAAATTACTAAATATCAATAAATAATGGAAATGACATTATTATTGTATGTTTTTTTAACTATGGAATTCTTGTTCAAATTGGTTATTTTATGGAAAATTTTCTTGTAATTCGGAATTAAACTTTATGTAAGTGCTCCAGATGGCCATAATGATAAACGAGGATGTTTGAGATTTGGTTGATAATTATTATAATCAGTGTTAGCACTACGTATTCCATTTGTTATAGTTGTCGTATATGTTGGACTATTTGACGTTGTATATAAAATTGGTGTTTTTGGTTCTTGTTTGATGTTGATTGTTCTTGGAACAGTGACTGTAGTAGGATTGGAAGAATTTGTGACATTTAATTGTTGAGTGATGCCACCATTCATTTGCTGTGCAATATTTGGAGTATTTGTAATCATTATTGGAGTTGTTGTTGTTGTTGTTGTTGGTTCTCGATTGATAAGGCTAGAAAAGATAAAAAGTTATATATTTATCAATGATAATAGAAGTTTAATTGTTAAATACCCTATTGGTAATTGAGCAGTATTCGATTGCTGATTTAAATTGGTTATATATGCTAAAAAATTTGATGTTAATTGAGATGCTAGAGTAGATATATCTATAGCGGACACAGTCATATCCGGTGAAACTAAAATTAGAAGTTGAAATATTGAACTAGAAATAACTAATAAAAAAAAAAAACTTTTACCAGTCATTAATGTTCCTGTATTAGATTGAGTTTGATTCATGATATTATTCACAGCAATTGGTTGTCGATTAACCTAAATATGAAAATTGTATCTATGATTTATGATCAAGAAAGTATCATTGTAAGTATTACATTCGACATTGAAGATTGCTTGCTTACTATTGATGGTGATTGTACTGGAGATTTATTATACATACTTAAGCCAACTACTTTTGGTGTTTGAAATGTATTATTTGAGTCGATTTTATTTAAATGTACGTTATTGTTATTTCCTGATGCATTACAATTACCTAAAATCATACCGTATACCATGACATATCAAGATGAAAGATGATGTTTTTTTTCTAATACCTAATTCTTGTTGAAACGATGATAGAAATTGAAATTGGGATGACGATGTTCCCATGGTATTTAAAAAATTTTGCTCATTATTTACTGGTTGAGCAAAAGTTAAATTGCTATTAACTAATAACTAAAATATTAATGAAAAAAACTTAATTTTTATCAAAATTTAAATAATTTTATACATACACTGTTCACTGTGTCCGTAAATGCTTGCTCTAAATCTTGTGTCATATCTACATTATTTTCTATTTTCTGTAAATGATCAGAAATTATTGGTGTCATCGTATAATCCGATTCACTTCCGAGTTCATCTTCGCTTTCAATATTTTTAGAATTTTGATGTTTTTTGTGCAATATCTTAAGAGAGACAGTAAACTTATTAGCAGAAACTTCATTTTTTTGATGACGCTGAGATATTTCTGGCGAGTACGGGTTATCCCAAAATTTTCGAAGCTGACAGAACTTGATTTCTAGAGAACCACTATGAGTTAACACATTCTAATGCTGTGAGATTGTAGGACACATCGAGTCGCTCATATAGATAAATTTTTATGACTAAGGTATCAATTTCTGTACAGTTATAGAACCTTCTTATCTTAATTTAATGGAATACCAAAACTTTTCACTTTCACTTTTATTTCACTGAAAGATTAATAACTGTATAGAAATTAATGTCTTAGTCACACAAATTTATCCACATGACAGACTTGATGTGCCCTACAATCTGACAGCATTAGAATGGATTTCTTTTGGAAACGCATAATGGTTCTCTAGATATCCAATTTCTGTAGGCTTATCCAAGAATGATCGGTCTATGGGGACAAACAAATATTAGTTTTGTAATATTTGTTTGTTTAATATTATTTATTAGACAAACAAATATCACCATCAGAAACTACGTTTTATAAACTATATTCCTAGGAAAACTCAAGGAATCTATTGGTGAGGTTCCCATGTAAAACCAGCCCACTCCATTTATTTTCACTATCACTAACTTTATGGTTTCACGGTCGTAATGGTTATCGTAGAAAAGAGAAATTTATCAAAAGAATATGACAAGTATTATCCATTCTGTTCTATTATACTCACTTCAATAATTTCTGTATTCGTGCATGATTCGTGTGGTTCATTATATTCAGCATATCGTAATAAGACTTTGTCCATATCAGAGCTCGCATATTGAAACAATCGATTATTACTATTGAATACAATCAAAGCAATTTCACATCCGCAAAGTACCGATAATTCATAGGCCTTCTTCATTAAACCAAATTTTCGTTTTGTAAATGTAACTTGACGAGTACGTTCATCGACAATTCGTTGTATTTGAATTTTTTTCCTACCCATTTTAATATTATTATTTTTATTTGTTGAATTATTATTATTCACTTTTTTATTACAAAAATGATTGATACTAAATAAATTTTAAAAAAGTATAGAATAATATGATAATATTAAAATGAACTAATCACCTGTTGCCGTTTAACATTTTATAATTTAAACAGAGCCATATAGTCGTAAAAGTTCAATTTCTAAAACAAATACAAAACGGTGATCTTTTTATATTTTTAACAGAAATCAACTTTGCAGCAATATGGTAATGTATATGATGACATAATTTCTCTATTTGTTCTGCGGGAATGTCTAGTCTATAAAATTTTATTTTATTATCTTTTCATGAGCGTAGAAGTCATAGAAATATAGATGCAGTTTGATATCATTGAAGTATTATTTAAAAAATATTAGACGATTGTCTTTAAAATTTTATAAAGGAAAAAATATTTGAAACATCTTATTCCACGAGAAGTTTCTTCAGTTTGGATTGTTAAAGATTTCGCTCAAATATCGTTATATTTTAAGATGCGAAAGTGTGTCATTTACAGTATAATATAAAGTTTAATGCTCAAAAATATTTAAATAACCGAGATTGATCGCAGAGATCAATTGTTTTTATTTCAATTTTATTTATTGTCACCGAACAACTTGGTATGCAATAATATTTCTCACATATCTGTGAGAAATAGAGTTAACGATGCTCAAGATATACAATGATATTGAATATCATTGAATGGAAACGAAATTTTTTTATATTCTGGAATACAATAGTTGTATAGTATCTGATTTTATTATAATTTTTATGCTATGTATTACAATCAAATCGGTTAGAATCCACATGAGACTTAATCTATTTTTGATAATAAACAAGTGTGAGATGAAAAAAGATGATAAATGTATTACTATAGTAGATAGAATGGATGAATGTTCATGAGAAAATTTGATTTATTTTCCTAAATTTATCCTCTTATATTATTGCTACTAGGGTCAAAGTCCGAAGGATATGATGGCTAAAAACAATGGCCTTCATTAACATAAATAGAACAAAAATTTTGTATTTGCTTACTAGAATAGAGAGTCACTACCATATTCGAAAATGTTCCAAATACGTACACATATGCACAGCTAAATCTATTTCTTTACCAAAAAAAGATCATAGAGATATATATTGCTGTTTAGTTGAAAACAGTGTTTTTTCCTCTCTCTCTCTCTCTCTCTCTTGATCGTACACATCCTATCTTAAAGAAAATTCTACAACATAAATTGAAGACGGATGTGTATACGATATTTTCTTTCTCTTTCACGCATTGCACGTACTAACTATATACATATTGTCTATTACCAGTTGGTTTTTTTCAAACAATTTACAATAGAGCTGGCATATAGATGATTATTCTTCTCTCATTTATTTGTTCTTTTTATCATCGTCAACATCTCGTATTCGAGGTTATTCAAAAAAGAAAATATCATCATCATTAAATAATGTGGTATGATGGAAAATCTGTGGTTATCAATCAAAAAAAATTTTAGAATGTAACATTTAGCATAAACAGATAAATAAATAGAGAGAAACAACAAATTCATCTATCTCTTTTTTTCTTCTTTTTAAACATGTTATGCTATATGCATATTATAGAGTGAGGCAGCTTATTGCAAAGATCAAAACTGTTGGATACATTTAGTAAATGTATTCACTCCTATATTAGATATATATAATATTCATATAATAAAATAACAGATGGAAGTTAGTTCGACTCGACCTATAAAGTATTTTATTGATGTTTGTTTGTAAATAATTAATGATTAAATTTGAAAGTCATCTACTCAACTTTGAATCTAAAATATTATTAAAAGAAATTTCGTTATCATATATACTTGAATTAATTTAAGAAATTTTTGGTAATTTTGAACTTCGTCGACTGTATGATCATATAATGATCTGTTTTAGTCTTTATTGTAAATAACATCGCTTATGTTATTCGATAAATGCAATCTTGTCGATAATATTATTATTTATTAATTGTACAGATTTTTACTTATTTATGAACCTTTCTAAGTTTTGTCATCTATCTGTGAGATATCTAACCTTTTTCATTGAGTTTCTCATGATTGACTTGATAAAAAAAAAATTAAACATTGAAATACTTCTTGTATGAGTAGAAAAACTGATTTGTAACTCGGTAACGTCGAGTCCCAGAATTGATGAAAGATTCAATATCTGCAATTCAATTTTTTTCCAAAAAATAATTTTTAAATTAATGAATTATGTAAGACTGACTTTGTCTACTGGTCAAAATCAGGTAAAGCTCACGTATCGTCTATAGTCTTCTTATGTTTTCTATATTACATCTATATACGCATATCACGGAAACAGACACTCGTCTATAAATTGAAACCATATGTGCTCGTATCGTACTCATAGCACATATGATTTCACTTTAGATAGCGACACGAAAATTTCAATTAGGTTTATTACTATTATATGGGTTTTTGTACTATTAATCCATTTAGACATGATTGCAATAAAGTCAATATTTGACGGAAATACATGTATTTAAATATGTTATAGGCATAACAAATTTAAAACCTTTTTTTCTTTAACTTGAAATTAGACTAGGTAAATCTGGAATATTTATCAAAACATGAATTTCTAGTACGAAAATATTTTTTTCCATTCTAGTAAAAAAGTTTCATATTCTTTAACGAACAATGTAAAATAGATTAGGATATTTCTATCAATGTATTTACGACATTTTTTCGTATTATCACTCACTTTCACGTCCTGTAACATTGTAGGTCATTTATCAAAGTCTACGAGTGTGAATTTACTGTTGACAGTATTCGATTATTGAAATCCATGTTTTTTACTAAATATTTTCGTTGTATCCTGTCTACTTTTTTTTTGTTTCCTACTTGGTGAAGAAATAGAACAACTAGGCATGCACCGATTACGATTATAACCGACAAAACAGAATACCTCGGTTAACCCTTTGAGTCCCATAGTAGCAAAAAAGCTACACATGTTTTATAATTATTTTTCACAACTTAATTTATAAAAATTAGTTATCGATTTTATTAAATTAAATATATTTAATTTATCTAAGAATCATGTAAGTCTTCATTTCCATTCTTTTCCTAAGGGCACGAACTATCATTTACATCCCATTATATTTGTTGAAGTGTCGGCTTCAAAAGCATAACTCGCTTTTTTTCAAATTTTGACAAGAAAAACAATAAATTTTTTGACATTTTCGTTCTAAAAGCTGTTTTACTAGTTCCCACCACAAGCTAATTTTTTTATCAGCTATTCACCCAAAACTAATTAATTACAATATTTCGATCGAATTTAATATTTCTATCTTTATTTCTTCTAATTCTTTGTTACAACCAGCAGTTTGACTACTTTTACGCTCTCTTAAATTACGTTATCGTAATTAAGCATAATTTTTCTTTATGTTCTTCAGATTACCGGGCTTTTTTAGGAAAATAGAAAATGTTGAGACAATTATGTTGAAAATTGAGTTTGCAAAAAGTATTAAGCATTAAAAGCGTATTATTCCACATTATTGTATCAGCTGATTCATTATCCTATCATACATTCTATTATAGCTTTCATCATATCAATCTCTATGGTATATCTCCAGGAAGGATATCACGTGACGATTAATTATATGATAGGAGAAACGATAGGCTTTTCTCTGTACGTCACGTGCTAGTTATAAGAATTTCTAAGTCCCAAACATCAAACACCATTTTCTTGAAAACGATTATCCGATATCTAAAAGTGATATCAGAAAAATAATTTCGGATGTGCCACATCTAGTACAAACACTGTCTGCTAGTTTTTGTCCCAATCTTCTGGGATTCCAAATGAGAGAGAACGGTGTATGGAAAAACCCACCAAAAGTGTACCGAAAGAAAGAACACATAGGCTCTGGAGAAAAGCAATAAACTGACTAACCGTTTCACTCAGTCTGCTTAATAACTACCAATTGTAATGCACCCAAGAAAGTCGAATTCTGATCGATTGCGTTAACTTTTCTTCGCTTGGAGTAATGGTAAAAAGTAATTCTTATTCTTATACCAACACTAGCATTGTTGCAGAATTATACCTATATTTTACTGTTTATCATTGTTCCGTTTGTCCAGTAAATAATATTAATTATAATCACTGACGTAACAATACTTTTCTTTTCTTCTTATCTCTATTGGAAGCTGAATATTTGCTATTGTTTAATCAGAAAGTAAGACGTGAATTTTGTCAAGTGCACTAGTTTTAAGAGTAACCTCTGCATAAAATTAGCTATATGACGCGGAGGTAAAATTAGATCGTTAAATGGCAGAAATTTATTAAGCTATTGTTCAAAAACACTTTGCTTTCGTCTTTTTCTCTAAAAAAGGTCTTTGTCACTACTGATTTTTATCCAAAATAAAAGATCATGGTTACTCTGTTCGGCTTTCATGTTGCATAATTGACAGTGGCCTTGTGTTATGTGAGGAATTTACGATTATTTGTTTTTATTGTTAAAAAAGCAAAAGTCAGGGTGACCGGTCTTTTCGTCGCCGATCTTTTCATCGCACGAACATTTAGTCGCATCGCTTTTGCCGCACGATTTGTTTTAACATAGTTTTTTGAACGATACAAGAAAATTAAATCAAAGATATAGTTTATGAGAAGAAACGGTTTTATTATCAAGTTGCCATTATTCTTCTAGTCAAGATTCATTATTGAATCAAGCATATAGTTTATTATTAGAGCGGATTAAAGCATCTATTTCACTCTATTGTTTGTCCTTTTTATCTGATGCGATGAATTGTTCGACAAAAAAATTAGTTATACTTATGTTAGTATCTTATACTGATGATGGATACTCAAAGATACTCATGTTGTGTATCTTTATTTCTTGCTGTTTTTGAAGCGGATTCTACAGCTGTATTGTTTTAATTATAATTTGTAAAAAAAGTCTATCTACTATTTTCATCTTAAATATAAGCGTAGTTCTTAATCCAGTTTCTAGCATTTTTACAAAGTATTAAGAGTGAAAGATATATTATCCGACAACAACTCTCAACGAACGAGAGTATGTGTTTTGTGATCAATTTAGTGGTTAACAGACCTTATATACATGTTCTCTATTTCTAAAGTATAAAATTTATTAAGTAAAAAATATTTCTGAGTAATAAATAGTCGAATAAACTATACAAAAACGATATAAATAAATAAAAAGATTCCGCTAAGCGGGAAAATTTATCCTAATACTATCTTAAAGATATTCTGACTACTATAGATGTACAAGAATACAAAAATTGTCCTCTCATGTATTTTGAAGTTGTCGTTTTTCAAATGTATTATCAAATATTTTGACAAAATGACATTGTTTCGAACCACATTGTGTACATTCATATTCTTGACTATAGGAGCTAAAATGTTGTAGACCATCTTTGATCTGAATAATTGTATGACCACATGATGAACATTTTAAACGTTGTTGACAGCAGGGAAATGCAGCAAATAGATCATAATAGTACAACGTACCAATAATCATTGGATCAAAATTAAATTGTGTTTTACATGAACGACATTGAGCTAATACAGTTCGCATTGATAGACAATCCAAACATATTGAATGTAAATATAATTGTCGATCATTATGATAGACGCCAATCGATATTTTAGGATTTTCAATATGTTTTACGGGACTAGAAAACAACAATAGATACACGTTAGACTAAAAAAGAAGACAAGATATACCTCAAAAATAAAGTACCATCAACTAATGGATATCGATCATAAACAATCATTGGCTGATGACATACGATACAATTTAACTCTGTACAACCCAAAACACTCAATTGGGGCAGTACAAAACAACGTGTTTCATCATTTCCATATGGACCTTCATCTTCTAATCGTATATGAATAGCATTTCGTTTATGCAATGGTACACGATTTAAAATAGACCAATCTTGACGATGCTCAAAAATATTACTAAAAGGATTAAATATTAAGTAATGATTATTTCATGTCTTTTATTCAAAAAAAAATCATGTACCCAGCGGCTGCATGTTTTTCATCGAATTGAGGCAGTGTACCGCTGTTAACACCACTATTAGTTATGTTGCCAGTCGCCGACATAGACAACGACACACTGTTATTGTTACTGTTCGAACTGTTATTGCTTATCGATTTTTTACTATTTCCGCCAGGTGATGAACTTAAACTGCTTGTTGATTGAGTACGATAACGTGATGAACGACCGCTTCGCGGAACATTTAATGGCTGAGATAATTCATATTTTTTATCATAATCAGACATTTTTATCTAAAAGATATGAAAAGAATTCATGATTGAACTTGAAGGTCAACAAAAGTTGTCTGAAAAATTACAAATAAACAAATATGAAGTTAAACGTAAAGGTTAAGAGATATTTCATCATACAACTTCAACTAATTCGGAAAATAGGTCATTATTCTTTTGTTGATAGTTTTCATATCCACTGGGATTACGAATTCAGACAGTCGCTTCACAAATTAGAGTAGAAACACTTTTAGCTATTGAATATTTCATATACTGCAAACGTAATACGCTCTGTATGTGACCAGTATGGACTTTAATTATACAAACATCCTTTAGGACGATTCAAAAAAATGTTTCAACGATTTTATTGCAAAAACAAATATAGATATAACAAGAAAAATACTAACAAAAAGTAACAAGAATAAAAATTTGAAAAAAACACCGACTATTTATCCCATGTTACGATTTTATTTTTTTTGTAACTTTCTATATTCTCCTTCTTGCATTGATAACATAGCATGAATTTCTTTAACTTTTCGTTTACGTTCAGAATCACTAAAATAATAAAAGATATAATTAAATAATTATACATCTATCATATAGTGTACACTAACCTTGACATTTGTTGATTTAATTGTTCTCTAGCTATAAATTGATTATCACGACGTATTTCTCTCGTCGCCGATTTATGTTCACGTTTATATTTTTGTCGTAAACGTAAACGATCATTATATTCTTTCGGTAAACTATTATTTTTCTTTCCATCAAATCTAAAATAAAATACAAATTTCTTATAGGTTACTAATTCTTAAAAAAGATAGATAGAGTATACTTCATTCCAAAACGTGGTTCAAAAAGCCTAAGTGTTTGTGGACGTTGTTTCCCTTGTACAAGTGGTACCCGATTTTCTCTTGCTATTTTCTGTAAATTATCTACTTGTATTAATATTGTTTTGCATTGATCCTAGTAAAAAAGATCAATGAAAATACAAGCAGTACATTCTTATTGACAACTTACAACTATTTGATCACAAAGATATGTAGTTTTGATTGTATCGAGTATTACTCTAAATGGTTCGATTATTTCACTAATGGCTGATAAATTAGAATAAATTTGAATAAAATGCGTTAACGAAAGTAAACATGAACGTAACACAAGTGCTCTAAAACACAAAAAGAGATAACAGATTTATGGAATAATACATTTATATAGAAGGAATACGAACCGTTGTTGATCATTATCAACTATCACATTATTGGAATACTTCAATTTTATTGTGTACGATCTAAATAAAAATTTTATTTGTTTTTCTCATTCATTGATAAAAAATAAATATTCTTTTCACATACAATTCAGTAGATGATCGCAAAATCAATAGTTGATCATCACTAATTTGTTTCGATGATCCCAAATGAATGCCTAAACACAAAACATCGAAAACACATGTTTGTAGAAAAAAAAAGAAACGTACGTTTATTTTTCTTGTTTTCTGGACATGCTAACTGAAGTAGTTTTATTAACAGTAACATTACTTCAGGAACGTAACGATGACTTTTACTAGTCCACTAAAAAACAAAACATTTTTTACACCGTTATTGTTCAAACAAAACACTAACCTGTTGTACAAGTTCACAAAGCATTAATGCTGTTTTACAATCGGATAATGATGATAATACAGCCTAGAACGGCAAAAATGAAAAAAGTTACAGATTCAAAATTTTGTACAATTTTTTTACGTACACTGTTCATTAATTGAGCTAATAATGTGAAGGCAGGCGTCGCTATAGGATGACGAAAATCAGATGTCGGATACAAAAGACCAATTAATTTCAAGAATAGTATCTGAAATAATTTAAACAGTTTACCAGACTTTCATCGTGAAAATTTTTTAGTGCTTTGTTATTTTTTATTATTCATGTATACTTACTGTTTCATAATCTGCTTTGATATATTTCTTTTCAGCTATTTGCTCATTAATAGTTTTTTTATAATTCTTTAATCTGTCACAAATACAAGTTCTTGTTTTAGTATTATTGACTAATTGAATTAATTCGAATAAATGTTTAGCAATACGATTTAACAATGGTGGCATATCTTTTTGCCGTTTGGATGATGTAACAAGGCAATAGTAATCAAGTACGAGTTCAAAATAATTCTAAAAAATAAATAGATTTTTATTAAACTCTCTTTTTATAAGAACAATTTTACTTACACTTATGTTTGTTTTTGGTAGTGGAGGCAACCGCGGATCTTTGATTCGTTTTAGAATAATTTCAAACGTTTTATTCTCTTGTTTTAGACGAATTTTTAATTGTTTTAGTGTTGTTGGTACTGAATAGTATAAAAGAAAATTTTCATGAACATTTTATAAACAAAAAAAACTCGATATCATCAAACAAAGTGTCGAACCATTTATTCTACTTAGAAAGTATTAGCTGTCAGTGAGATGCTACAAATATCGTGACTACAGAGCTTCTTTATTAAAAAACATCTCTGTAACATACTTTCACTGAATTCGTTTGAAGTATCATTCTCCGATACAAGTTTATTCTCCGATTCGTCTACCTATATTAAAAAAAATTCATTTAAAGTTTAGTTGAACTGAATAGAATGTGAATGTATGTATCTGAACTTTTATGGAAGAACAATCTTTCAGAAGAGAATTATTTTCGAATACCTACTGAATTTTCATCTTCAAACTCCCCATTATCATCTTCAAAATTTCCATTCTTATCCTCAAAATCCCCATTTTCATCTTCTTGTTCTTCCGAATTTTCGTCCAATGTGTTATTCTCCGTTGTTTCGTTAAATCCATTTTCTTGCATGTGACCTTCGTCATCAAAACTAACATGTTTTTTTGAACCATCCATAATGTAATAACTAAACATATTTTCTATGCTAGTGTCTAATAAATAATTATTTCTAAATTATATACCTTTCATCTAATTCTTCGACTGAACAATAATCCATTTTCTGTTTTCTCTTCGATAATATTGATTTTGGTGCTGGCTGCATACGGTTTGCTTCTTCAATCTATCAGAAATATAGTCTGATATCTATCATATAATCTAAGAAAAAACACAAAAGCACAAACCTGTAATGTTTTTATGCGTTCACTAGCTTCTTTTTGGAGATCTTCAGCACTTTTGAGTGGTGCACCCCCCTTAAAAGAACAATGAAAGAATAAATAAATAAAAACAAAAACTAAAAGAAACAAACCGTTGTTTTTGCTTCATATTTTAATGTATTAACTAAACGATCGTAATCATCTTGTGGCTCTTTAGTTTCAATTGGTCGATTGGTTTTATCTTTAATTCCCATTATTGCACTTAACGCTTTCCATTGCTCATCTAACGTTTCAGTCAAATCAAATACTTTCTCATTTTCGCGTTGTCGTTCATACTGAAATAAGATAACATTAGTTTAAACCACGTGTGAAGTAAATTCATTTACCTTTTCTTGTTTTGTCGTACGTATCATATCATCAATCCATTCTTGTTTTGTTTGTGGTATTTTTCGTTTATTGTCATTAAATCCACCAAAAAAATGTTCAGATCTTATGCGTCCTGTTGAAAAGAAAAAATTTGTTATTAAAATGGATAATAAAGCAACGGTCATTTCATTAACCATCAACATCTTCGTCATCTGCATCGTCAATAACTGGTCGTTGATTTAATTCCTCTGATTTTGATAATGATTGTCCAAAATGTGTCAGTTCTTCATCATCATTTAGATTATAACGACTGTCTTTTCCAGCGCGTATTTTCTATGTTTTAATATAAAAAAGCCACCTATCAATCTAATACGAAATCGAACAAGCAGAAACACTCACTGATCGTTCAACAATAAGACGTTGACTTAATTTTTCATCCTCTGTCATGTGTGGATCATTTTCACCAAGACGTCGATCAATAAACGTGTTTTTTTTAAACACAGTTTGTAATTCTTTCAATAGCGTTCGTTTTCTCTGATTGAATAGAAAACAAGATGATAGAACTTGTTTCTCGATTAATATAAAAAAAAGAATAAGTATGCTTACTTTTTCAATTGCTTTTGTTCTTGCTTGAAGAGGTTTTCCTCCTTTTTCGTAATTTCGTCTTTTCCCAAGTACATCATGTTTCAAACGATTGACATGTAAATCGAATGGATTTTGTTTCATTGTTCTTTCAGTTAGTTTTGTTTGCTTTTTATGATTATGTTTATCAGACGAAAAGACATGTTTCTTTTTTTTTGCCATATTTGAACGTAACAGATACTATAACCTTCTCTAAAAATACAGTGAGAATGACAAAAATATTTTAACTATGAATTTTCAAGAAACAAAAGTAATAGGTATAGTGGAACAGTGACCAGTCGTCAAGTTTGATTATTTGATTTTTAAAAGTGGGAGTTGTATCAGACTATTCTTGTTATAAAACATTTTACTCTTCTCGCACACTTGAAAACGGCGAAAAAGGTGCAATATTATAAATCTATTTCGCTGTAGCACTGCTACATTTTCACCGGAGAGTTTGCTTACAATAAATCGTACCATCTTATAAAAGTGATGGCGAAAACGTAAAAAAATTACAGAAACAACGTTATATGATGAAGAATGATCTTATGTTCTTCTAAGACTTTATGTATGTTTTGTCGACGTTATTACTGCGGCAAAGTCACACATAAACATATTCTAAAGACATATTTTATATGATATCACTTATTTTTACTTAAAAATCGATCAATAGAATGAAAGTAATGTTACATTTTTTTACATTTAATGTTGCATATTTCATTGTGAGAATGGTAAACCAATATTAGGGTTATACGTAGCGTTTTTTCTGCTACATTCTCCAGCAGGAAATAACCAGTACATACACATTATTACTAGGACACAAAATGGTACAGCTGTTGTCTGGTTTATTTTTATCGTTGATTTCTGATCCTTTTACAAAGGAAAGAATACGCATTCAAGGATGCTTGCAACACGTGACCGCTCTTCATCGAAGGAGCAGCCAAATTCTGTTCTCTATCGGAAGAAAGTCTTTGAGAAAAAAATTTAAAATCGAGGAAAGTTTTTATAGACTGAAGTTTTCCAGTTGAACTTCTGTAAGTTCTTGTTTATGACCGACACAAAAAAACGTCTCATCCAACGTTGAAGATGATAAAGTCAATTGGAAAGGTATGATATTACAAAAAAGTAACATTTTACTGTGACTTTACAGCAAGTTTCGTATGTTTGTAGATTGGAATTTTATTTTCTTCACGAAAGAGAGAAATTATTTGATTGGTTGTCGAAAGTCATGTTTATTACCATAAGACCTCTATCTGAATCGTTCATACTTTTCGAGAGTTTTTCTATAGTTACCAAACAGTAAACAATTATTTAATGGCACTCACTTCATCTGGCCTGGGTTGTTAGTAGAACCGTTAGCTTTTCATCATCGTTTTGAATCTGTTACTAAGACGGATAGACGATGTTTTTATTCAATAATGGATCATAATCAACAAGTTTGTTACTTTAAATATAGAAACAGAAATTAAATAATTTTTAGTATAAATAATTTTTTCGAATAAGAACTACATGGTTCTAAAATACAGAGATAGGCGAGTATTACTAGTTAGGACTGTCATGACAAATCCTGTAAAAGTCTCGAGGGGATTCTGTTTTATACGAGGTTTTCATTGGAGCCACGGATATTTTTAAAAATCTCTGTTGCGGGTCTTAGAGCTGTTACAATATACATGCCAAAAATATAAATGTCAAAGCATTTGCATGGTCTGACATTCTTAGTTTTAATAAGTTCAAACATATTTTGTTAATGCTTACACAGATAAATCAACGTTCTGTGGAGTAATTTTCGATGCATTTTAAAATAAGTTATCAAATTATTTAAACTAAGCTCTGAGCATTCATAATGTAAAAAATATTTCTTAAATAAAAAAACAAAAATCGAACCTGGGCCTTAATTTTGGGTATGCATCCTCCTGTAAGGTCAAGAGTCGATATACTTTAGATTATGGCACAACAGACGTCTTTTATTTTTTTAAACACGGAGTCATTGATTAGTCAATACCTACGTGGGGTAAAAATATTATTGGTACTACTGCAGAAGTACAAATGCTTTGACATGGCCTGATATTGCAATAGATCTTCATGCATATGAAACTCCCGATGAAATCGTATATACAAGACACAAAAATGAATTCAGATTTTTTGAAACATTTTCAGAGTTTTTGACACATTAGGGATCCATTCTTAAAAAGCTGCTAGCTGTTAATAGTCTTAACCTTCGCTTGAATAGAACGCTAGAATGAAACTTAAGAGATTCGACCAGGAAAAAAATTATTTTGTCTCTACCACGAGGAGTTTTGAACAGAAACGAAGAGTTCCAAATAATTTTTTAAATCTTTCACTCCTATTTTTTTATCATCAGATTTTTAGAAGTGATCAAAAAATTTTTTTTGCAAAATATGGGCAGGAATTTCTGTTAACGTACGAGTACTCGAAAATCTGTACTGGAGCGTACTTCGCCCACCTCTGTACGATGGGCATCCGGGTATCCGTTACGTGGGAAATCGAAAGTGAACTTTTTCCGGGTTCAAATAGTGAAATATACAGTTCGATGTATGGGCTACTTATTCGCATAAAAAGTTTGTAATAGTCTACATCACATAGATAGCACAAATGCTCTTAGAACGTACAGGAGGTTTCTCAAAAACTCTTGATTTTTAGCTAAATTGTGTTTTTTTCCAGTTCAGAAACACTTTTAAGACAAACTAAGACCATATTTGGAATCAGCACGTCGAGTTACATCGAACCATATATAACACAATAAGTTTTGGATTGAATCCATCGAAATTTTTTTTATGCACCAACCACCAAGACCGATTTTTTACTATTTATATCTTCCTTAGAAGCATTAGAGATGACTAAGCAATGATAATTATTCATTCAAAAAATGGTTTACGAGCACAAAATTCTGATGTTCACCTGCTATTAGAAAAATCCCACTATGCTTTACTGGTATGTTTGATGCATATACTTGATAATCTTTCAGCAGTTCTTGTTTCATTCTTCGCATTTTGTCCTGCCACAATGAAAGAGATTCATTCATATATAAAAAATTCAATGCGATAGCTCAAAGAGCAATTACTCTCAGTACGCGTGAGATGCCATACGTGGCTGACATTAAAAAGATTCGACACAACACTCATATCAGCCAGTGCTGAAACGTCGTTGAACGTTTTCTTTTGTATGGAGTTTGCTGCAAGCATTGTACTGTATGTTATGATGAGCTAAAAATTTTTATATAATAAATAGTTTCTGAACATTCAGCAAGTATTAATTAATCATTTCTTTTATTTCTTAGCTTTACAATCTTAAGCGTAGTGAATCCAAGAACAGCGATTAATTAAACATATTCCAAGTTTTTCTTTCATTAGTAAATACAGTTTATGGAGTTAAAAGCTTGATTTTTCAAATCAAAACAAACATGCATTAATAATGACAGATAATTTTTTGTACAAATTGTACAAAGAACATTAATATTTATATTGATTACTCCAGTTTTTTCCAAGACGATAAATATTGAACAAATTATTTTCCCATTCCATTTCCAATTTCATAATTTTTAAATGCTTTCCATGTTTTTATATCCGGACCTGAATAAATATTACAAGTATTACATCGTACCTTCATTTATCTATATTTACTTACAGTAACGTGAGCCACTTATTTTATTGATACTTGGCTCACATCTTTCTTCATATTTTTCTGATGCTTCTCGTTTTTGTTCTTCGCATTTTGTTTTTCCAGGATGGAGAAATGCTCGTTTTAGAAATTCAACGGCTTCTTCTCGATCTAGAATACATGATTTCTCTGTCATCCGCAATAAGAGTAATGAAGCTATGATAATGAGCAATGAATGATTCGATACAGCAAATTAGATTCGGGAATTGAATAGCAAAAGCCAAAAACCTATACACATCCCAGAACTTTTTTATCATAAAAAATAGATATGAGGCAAAAGGTTTGAACTACTTTGAAGTAGAATTTATTTAGTCAGCAGAGAAAAAAGATTTGAGAGGAACTTGAACTAAGTAATGTTCCATAAAGAATGAGTCACTTTTGTGTTTTGTTTATATTTCTGTCAGGGTTTATCAATACTGGTTTATTTTCTTACTAAAAGAACCATCATAAACTTCTCTAAAAAACCATATTGACTGTTTCATAGCAAAATGTTCAAGCTCAAATGGTGAAGTTTCTGAGATACTTAACCGCAAACTCGTTTAATTTTAGTTTTAATGAAGATGCAGGGATCAGTTGCATCGGGCCACATGTTCTGATGCTATTAAGTGTGTTCCTTGATAGAGATATAAGCAAAATACAAAGTGATTCATTCTTTATGGCGGACTCATTATAACTTTGTCATTGCCCGTAATTATCCTTTGTGAAGTGTAGCGAGTTGACAAAAGCGTTCTCCGTTAATCGAAAAAAGCTGCAACTGAGTCAAGTTATCGTAAAAAAGCAAGATGCCATTGTCGAAATGTTAAAATAAAATCTTGGACAATGATTCGCATTTATAAACACGAATAAAATCTGGAATTTATTTTCAATATTGCAATGTATCTTACCAAAATCGAAGTCGTTGGTATTTGGTCTAACCGATGAGAATTCTGACAATATAATAATAATAAATGCAAGAAATAAATAAGTTTTCATTTTTTATTCACTCTAAAAACGAGTTTGTTTAATTAGAGAAATGTATCTGTGGAAGAAATAAAACACTAAGAACGAATAAAATGACGATATACTGTATCATCGATAGAAGAAAGAAGCTATCCTTCACCATCATTCGAACATTACCTAACATTATCGGTGACAAAACTTTTTTCTTATATTACGTGTACAATGTAGCATGGTAAGAAATAATGATAGTATGTTGTTTCCTTTTGTTTACAGTTAAAGTTTGTTGAGATTATGAATTAATAAACATTGTCGTTCTCATACAGACATTGGATAATAAACGTTCGACATAAATTTCCTGTGATACAGATTCTCGAGCATTTTGTTATAACTTCATTCTCATGTGTAATGTGATCATGAGAATCTTACATTTACAAATAACCTGACGGAGATTCTACTGTAGATGAGATATTTCGACAAAAAAATTAGGAAACAATGTTTTTATGCGGTTTGTTGATCGCAGAAAATAAATGATTATGGTGATGATTTATGTCATGAATTTATACTTTATAATACAGACTAGCATCTTATCATCAATATTCTTTATAAGCGATATCACATTTTTTCTTCCACAATATATCTAGAAACCGAAAGTAAAGATGAAAATATGATACATTTCTTTCACGATTCATCTGAATGTCTTATAATCATCGTTAGTAAAACTTTACATCCACGAGTCAAAATAATCTTATAATTAACACTTACCCAAGTACGAAAAAAAACATGACAACCTCCCGGTCATCGGCGGACTCAGGGGTTATAACTGTAGTTATGAACTATTCAGAACTTTTTTATCGACGGTTTCTTGTGGTTACGTCCGTTTCAACACGTAATTTTAACGATTTTACTTCTTGTCAACGGCGATTATCGTTTCGCCAGTTCTACCCGTTTATTTTAAGTGGAATAACCTGGTAAAACTGATTGAAGGACCGTCAAAATGTTCTTATTAAAATCCATCAACAAAGAACTCTATCGTCATATATTTTCACTGGACCTGCCCCAATGTTTACAACCACTACTGTGATGTGCACTCTCCAGTTCTCGCCATCAGTCAGAATTACAAGTGATGAGATTTAATTTTCACAATGTCGGTTTGAGAGTAGACAAATATTTACAACCGCATTCGAAAAATCGTCTCAAGCAAGCACTATTTGTTGGATTATTTCTAGATTTAGTCAAACGTGATACAGCAACAGAAGACAGACGACAATGACGCTCGATGTTGGATGTGTATCATTGTATAAATATGACAGAATTTTCTATGATTTATTTCAAATTAATACCAGTACGCTAGTTGGTAAGTGTGCACGTAATAGTTTTCTATGAAAATATGAAAAGAGATCAGATTTTAGATTTAGGTGTAGCCTATTCATACTATCCTTAAGATACTGGATGTCTGTCTGATAAGTATATTACACAACCGATTATGATGTATTCGATTTATTTCATCTAATTACGTTTGATAAATTCATTCGAGAAAAAATAAAAATTTTCAATATGAACATTATTGTTCCACTGAAGTCATGTATTTGAGATTTGATAACGGGTTTTTATCTACACAAGTATAGATATAATGTGAGGATAGTGTATATTGGGAACATGGGCAAGATTTGCTACATTATTACAGCAATTAGACGAAAAATAGTATCGTGCCCATTTTATCACTATCTTGTTAGTTCACGTTTATCCTGATAACCGTTCGAGCGTAGATTGTCTATTTCAAATTGAATGAACCACATGTGAAAGATTATTTTGATGAATCTAGTGGCACTTTTCCGTCATTTGATAAAGGATCGATTCAATTGTTCAACCGATTACTACCAAACACGGCTCATTTTTATGCACTACCATCATTAAGAAAGATAAAACACTGTGAACGATTTAGTTGCGCACATAAAGAAATTCAAATTGTTCGTCACAATAAAAAAAAAGAGAATCAATGCTACTGATTTGGAACAATGTTTAAAAGAGCATGAACAGAAAAAAGTAAAGAAAAAGAGTGATAAAATGCATTTTTTTTTTCAATTAAAGGCGAATTCCACTCAGGGATGATGATTACTCTGAAGTCTATTATATTGATATATGCATATATTCAAATAGATCAGAGTGTTTACATTTAGATGATATAAAAACACCATAAAATTTTTGAAAAAGACAGGATATGGTTTCCATATGAACTTGATGCTCAACAAAATGGCTTATTCAAACGTCAAATCTGAAATGGACCACGGGCTTACGTGTTCAAAACTATCAGAAACTGACTCTTAATCATTATAACAGAGATATCCTTTTCTGCATGGAGACTTCCACAACATTGCAAATATTTTGAAGTGCGTTTAGATTGTCTGTTGATAACATACGATTCAATGCTAAAGTAACGAATTTAATTTCAAGACACTTAATATTTTCACTTTTCCTTGTCTCGTATAACCGATATGGTGAGACGTTTTTTACAGTCATAGACTACCAAGACGAAAATCTACTGTCTAAACTAGCTGACAATGTAGCACATTATTTGAAGAAAGAAGAATTGCTAAAATATTTTCGATTAAAAGCTCGTGAACAAAATGAAAATTATAAGGTTCGGTGGAGAACTTTATGCGCTACATTTTAGTAAAAAAGTCTTCTTCCAAGAAAAAAGACCTACTGATAAAAAACACGTTGTTTGTAGAAGATACTTGTATCTCATATACGTGTTTCGTTTTCAAATATTCTTTTGCTTCTCACAAAAAAGTAAAATGAACGTGAAGATAGAAAAATGTTAGACTGCAGTCGACACGTTAAAATAAAAAGTATATTAAAAAGAGTTCAAAAGAGTTGCTTTATTTTAAATGATGTAATTACATTGCTTGTTTTCTTATATCATTTGTGGAATTCATACGCCAAATAGAGATTGTTAATGCTGATGCAAATCCAACCCAAACAGCATAAGGCACCATGAGTAATGAGGCTGTTTGATTAATTGGCCAAAATTGAACAATGCATATTAAGATATTCACTAAGAGTGCCAATATCACAGTAGTTGCCTACAAACAGAACATTTCTCGTAAATATTTATTACTATAGGCCAAAAGTGAATATACTTACCAAACCAAGCTGATGAAAGAGAAAAAATATCGGACTCCATATCCAATTTAAAATTAATTGTGTACCATAGAAAAATAAAGCTGAATGACGAACAGAACCTGAACTATCACGTGCGATCAAATACGAAGAATAGCCCATAAGACAATAGACAATGGTCCACACTGGTCCAAATACGGCATTTGGTGGACGCCAACTAGGCTTTTTGATTTTCTTAAAATAGATATAACAGAAATGATATTCTTCTCATTATATCCTAATGAAATAATACATACAGCATACCATGTTTTTACTTGCGTAGCTGTTATTATACCGCCAACAATGCCTCCAATTTGTGGAAAAAACAAATAGGCAAAAAATGAAAACCAACTCATTACCATTATTGAAGAATTCTATCCTACAAATAATTAACAAAAAACAACTTTTGTACGCGATGACTGCATATATATACTGTGGGACCTTTTTTCCTATCATTTATTTACCTTAAGTAATAAATCAAAACTTACAATATTTTTCAGTTTATGACATACGTAATGATACATCGCTGTCAAAATTAATGAGCAATTTCTTTCTGTTATGTTGTAGAAGATAGTTGGTGAAAGTGATGCAAAATTTTTTTACTACAAATAAAAATTTAACATGAAGTTTAAATTAGTTTGATGATAAGAAGAAGCGCTGATTTATCATTCAAAAAGTCATACATAAAAAGTTATGTACACTGATAGACAATTACAATTATCAAAAGCCACTTCACTTATGATGTTATATCTCAATGTTTATACATAGTGAATACTCCGGAGGGTAGAACCGGCGGGGTATAATACAAGAACATATTTCTACATCAATTTCACACACTTCTAGGCATGTACGGATATTTCTCTCAGTGACGTCATCAAATCGAAACAACAACTATAAATAGTTACACCTCAAATTTCTCTTTAATGTTTGGAAATAAAACAAAAACGCAAGAGATGCAGAAAAGGCACCCTTTCACTTCTTATCAGCAAACGCGTAGGCATAAGACAAACACAACAAATGCTTATTAGAGAACTGGCAAATAAGGAGATATCACTTTTCGTATCAGCATATCTTTCTGTTCTCTTTCTTTTCGATCGACCCGTTGACACGAAAGAATTTCTGCACATGGGATATCTTGTGCGGAAAGATGATATCTCAAATAAGGGGATAATACCCTTATTTACTAGTTTTCTATTGAAACATAGAATTAAGATATAGCCAGACAGTCTTTCTTTTTCTCTTTTTTTGGTGAAATTTATTCAGCGTAGGATATAAGGAAGGACAGCAAAACATGAAGGATAATTGAAAGCTTAAAAAGAATCTAATCAGACGTACTCAGCGATTGTGAAATCGAATGAATAGTGGTAGGCAACACAATCCGTTAATTGATATCTCTCTATTGATGATCTATCGATCATTCGGGAAGTATACATCTGTGAATAGTGTGATATGAACTGTGGTTGTACGCGAAAATCGCAAAATGCTGTATGGGCACACGTGTTAAATATATTCCACGTGTGACAACACGAGAACTGTTCACGGAAACTTTTCGAGTAATATTTTTCGTACGAGGTCATATGAGGTCACTGGTGAAAGTCATAAATTGGTGTGAGGATTTCGCAGTGATCACGAATATCACTTCCCAGGCTCTCAGAGCCCTTTCCTCGCTGACATATTTGCAAAATACTGAGAGCGTCTTAAAAAATCCAAAATCGCAAGGTTTTGGTAAAATGGCCGTAGCTTTTTGCGCTATAGTTTTATTGCTCGGCACACAGCTTTTTGGGTTCAGCATCAAAAGCTGAGTCTACACAGCCAGCTTTCAAAACTTCAGACCAAAAACTGAAATTTTAGGGGGTCAGAAATCGGATCGACCCAAAAGCGTCAGGCAAAATTTGCAAACCTAACACACGTTTTCCTGGAGATATTTGAAATGTCGATCTTACAGTGCTCATACAGAAAAGCTTATAATACTGTTTAATACACAGTGTTTAAATCAATATATCTAAACAAGATGTGGCTGCGTTTAGCTACATTTAGTATTTCCTAATCTCATTTCAACTTTGTTTCTTTGCAAAAATATATTTATTAATCGAAGATAATATATTTTTTTAATACAACTCGATAGTGGAAAATAAGTAATTACACAAATATGAATTTTTCTATCGTATCCAGCATCTTTTTCAAATTTATACAATATAAACATTAAAACCCTTTTTTGAGTTGAAATGAGACAGCAAATACAAAATATAACTAAATGCAGCCAAATCTCGTTTAGATATATTAATTTCAACATTGCGTATTGATCAATATTATGAGTTTTTCTGTATGAGAGAACTGTAAGATCGAACATTTCATATATTTTTTATCATAAGAAGAAAAAAGATCTCAGCATACCAACATCAAAGCAGTTATTCAATAACAAGGTACTTTCATTTTATAATATTTTTGGAGTGAGGAGAATCTGATGATTCCTGACCAGGTGCTTTATATAGAACCGAAGTAAAACGGTAGTATGGCCATTCGCTATTCCCATGGATACACTCAGATATATTTGGAAGTTATTTGAATCTCTGATAGCATTTTTGTCGTTTGACCACCATTCAAAATATTGAATGGTACTGAGTTGTTGAACTGCGGTTGAAACCTCATTATGAGTCTAACTGGAGTAGCGAAAATATTGTATGAAGTTGTAAATGAGTGAGATCGATAGTGCACAAAATTCTCTATCTTTCTACGGCGAAAAATTAACTATTGAACTATTTTGAACGGTGATCAAACGAGAAAAATGCTATCAGAGATTCAAATAGCAGATTTTGTAGAGAATTCAATTCTCTATCGATTGAGCCTAAAACGAACTCTTTGGACTAATGAGCTTACCCTCAAAAACAACAAACAAAAGCAACCCGAATTTTCTGGGCGACCCATTATAGACTGCATGAAACTATATGCAGTCTAAACATGAATGTTTTTTGGAAACTGTTCTGATTAAATATCATGTTGGAAAAGATCATTTTCAACATTATCATCAAAGATTTATTACTAGAGAATTAGGTGATGTACATATTGATGTATGACGACTTGAAGAATTGAAGCCAGTAAGAGAACAGCAACGTTAGCATGAAAAACATCATCAGACATTGCAACAAAGTTTGTTACTGTTATATTCAACATATGCGCATCCCTTGTCATAGATCTTCTCATTTTGTCTTTGTGTAACTTTGTATTTTTTTACCGTTTTTTTGTTATCTCTGTTAGAGATTTGATTCTGATCCAGGATCTCTCTATTTCGGTGGAGCGAAAAGATTTAACGAATTACTTTGATAATAATTCATACCTCGCTTCGTTTCTTTTTCCCGACTTTGTTTTGTCAGATGATTTAAGATCTGCTTTTATCCATAAATGTTTTTCTGTGTAAATTCATGATAAAATCAATTGTACAGGCCTCGCAGCGGCCTTCATAAGAAATCAGGATCAGGACAGGATTTCTAGCAAAAGAAATCAGGAATTTTATCAGGAAATCAGGATTCTCGTCGAAAATTAGGATTGACAGAGGTTTACCGAAAGACATACATCTACACCCTCAACAATTTCATGTGACTTACAGCAGATCAATATGCAAAGTCAAGCTATCAAGAAAGCCACAATGGGCCAGTGGTTCGATTGCAATTCTGACAATGTATACGGTAAATATTGATAAATAAAAAGAACAATGAACAAACGAGAAATGAATGTGTATATACGAAAAAATCGTAAAAGTGTATATATGAAAATCTACTGCGATTCGTTGATAGCCATTTAACAAGGAGAGTTGATGGTTCAGCGGACTATCAGCTTGTA